TCTATACAGCTGTAGTTGCAATACTTACCAGTAATGACATATGTCCCACATCCTGCAGGATCTTGGGAGAAATTTCACTGGAAGGATACCCCAGTCTTCTTCCTGCCTCTGAAATTCCAACACTGTGGCTGTTAATAGCCTCTGGCTTGCAGCTTAGCTGCTGTAAAAATGTTGTTGCAGGTCGCTTTCTCCATTGAGAAAACTTTGTTCATTGCCTCTTACATGATTCTTGAATGGGTGAGAGAATCCTGTGACTCCTCCCCCATTCTGTTACATACAGTGTAAAGAATGAAAGCACTTCTCTCAATTGAGGACAAGGCCAGCACAACTTTTTCATAGCAGCTCAGTCTGAAGCCATCAATAATGGCAGCACCAGAAATTTAGAGACCCAAAAAAAAAAAAAAAAGGCAAAAAGGTGGGACTCAATAGATACGCATGTGTCTGCCCACCTGCCTTCTCAGGAAACAAATGTCCCTTTATGACCAGCTAAAGCTACATCTCTAACAAGGGATATACTTCTAAGTATTGTTAGAATTTAAGCAGGGCTCTCCCAACCCTCTTGAATTGTCTCCCATTATATTGTAAAGCACTGAGCAAACTATTGGCGCAATATAAATCTTGTATAATAATAATTACATGGCCTGGGGTTGGGGGACAGACATCTCACGCTACACTAAAATAAACCACACTGGGCTTTATCTGAATGAAGATGGCCACAGGGTATTTTTAAACAAAGTGTAATATAGTCAAAAATGACTGAAGATAAGTGCCATAACCAAAATTTACCAACACAGGGTAAGAGCCACTTACCAGGCCCCTGAAACACCTCCCCTTTTCTGGATTGTAGACCCAATATACTGTACCTGCCATAGTGGGTGCACCCATTCAATAAAAAAGGCCAAGGTGAGCTTACCCCTCATGACCTTTGCAAGTATTTGTTGATATGCCCAGCTTAGCATTGTCAGAAACCTGACAATACTCACAGGGCTCTCTACTGGAGCCCCAAAACACTTACAGAATATCAAATCAACCTGAAACTCTGAAGTGTGTGTCCCTGCTCCTAATGCCACAAAAACTAATCTAATAAGGGTTGGCAGGGCAGATTGCTTCCTCTACCAAGGAAAATAGCTGCTCCTTGCAATTTGCTTACCTAATGAGAGCTAAGGAATCAAACTGAACACCACCCTCCCCTTCTAATAACCCCCAAACTGCCTAGTCCCACCATAGGCAAGCTCTCCTTGGATTACATGGCTCCAAGGAAGTGCATTTTACTCACCCCGGCTCACGTGAAATCTTGATACAATAACATAGGAGGCTTATGCCTTTAACCGCTAGCCTACAGGGAACTTATACCCCCTTCCTGCCCAGGCAAATATCCAGCACTGTCGCACTTTGAATGACAATTGCGCGGTCAAACACTGTACCCCTATGACATTTTTATCATTTTTTTTTAATGACAAATAGAGCTTTTATTTTGGTGGTATTTAATCACCTCTGGGTTTTTATTTTTTCTTAAACAAACCAGCTCGAGGAGAGAAATGCCGATAACCAGCATTTCCCTGTTTACATTATCAGCTGTGATTGGACACATCTGATCACATGACCGAGCCAACATCTTCAGCTCTTTCCATGATCAGTGATACGCTGTGGCCAAGGGACATAGCCAATCGCCACGCATGTGTAGTGAGAATGGGATGACGTCATACGACACCCTCCTGTGATGGATTTGGTAAAATGCCTATTCAGTTTCCTCCTGAATATATATACACACTTTTATATTTCTAAATATATGTGTTGTGCATATTATATTGTCTGCTGGGCTTTGCACTCCTCCTTAACTTGTTGTTCAGCGATGTTCTCAACCCCTCCATCAAGCTGTGAGGATCTTGCAGTTACGGCCTTGAACATATGAGGGAGTGAAGAGATAACGGCGACAAACTTCCAAGTTTTTTTTTTTCCTTCTTTCTATATTTCAGCCAACCAAAATGTGCTTTTTAGACTATAATCATATTTACATAATAATGACATATACTCTATTGTTTTCTATGTATAAAAGGTTAAGCACCGCCCTGCAATAAACAGATGAGGACGTGGTTATACTGCACAGTTGTCAGTGTGATCATTTTCCGGCGTGCATGTGCAATTCATTTCTCCAAAAATTAGGAGCAGCAGCAGAAATCCTACCCTGAACCCGATTGTTGTTCTCATGACCATTTTACTCCCAGAAAAAGAGAACCACCTTGTGCCCCTCATATTACTATATGGAGGTGGTTAAACTCTTAGGCTATGTTCACATTAGCCTGCACACTGGGATGGTTGCAAGTATAAGATTTTTTGCAACTGCAGAGAGATTGTGGGTGCAGAAACCGCACAGAAACCATATAGTCAACAAGATCATGCGGTTTCACAGTGTCGGAGTTTCAGAGTAGGTACATGCACCTTTTTCTTGTGTAAACCGGGCACAGCCCACAATAGTGTGAACCGGGTCTTAAAGTGGACCTTCACTCTCTCAATCAATATGGTGTTGCATCATTATGCTGCTAGCATTAGTAAATAGCATTGGAAAAGTATATTTACATTTCTTTAGTTACTTCCTTAGTTTCCATGCATAGGCAAATTATGTCATACACCTCAGTACTCATCCGAAGGGGAAGATGTGTTTACTCAGCTAAGCACACCCTCCTACTTGTATGCCTGAGCTAAGGACAGATGGATTCCATGAATTAATTGCTACACGAATAATCTGCCTTTACTTGGTCACAGCCAGAAATGCCAATGGGGTGTTTTTCAAAGTGATTTCGGCAAAATAAAGCATGGATGGAGAAGTTTGGCACTCCGATACAGTATTACTTAAACATAAAAGGATTTAAGGAAAAACCCTTAAAATTAGATGTTTAGTATCACAATAAGCACAGTGGCATTGAATTCGCTCTCATGGTGTTAACTACAGTTAAGTCACATATGGTGATGCGAGTACAGGCACAGTTGGAAGAAAGAGTAGTAAACTGACAGACAATAACAGGTAGCTGTGCTTGCTGTCCCACAGAGTTCCTGTCCGGATAAAGATAGCATATAGCATATGGCTTCATGGAAATAGAAGCACATAAAAGGAACAGTGATGTCACAGGAAGTCAAGATTTCTTTATATAGTATCTTCATGCAGTTTGTCCATCACTGTGAAACTGGAGAACTGTATGAAGGAATCTATTTGTACAAATCCCTTCACAAGCTTTAGAAAGCTAGGAGGGAGGCAGGGGTTAACTGCAAGCCATCCTACAGAAACCCGCTCAAAGAGCTTTAGTTTAAATTATTTTTGCTAACCACTTTGTGTAAATGGAAAACTATCCAAGTTTAGTCTGTCTATTATAAATAGTTATAGCCTGGTGCCTCACATCGATTTCATAGTTTTTATTAAATGTGTGCTGGCCCAGAGGAAATCTCCAAGCAATTCCCTAAAGTCAACTTTACATACAAAATTAAAGCAATGTAGAAAGAAAAAAAAAAAAATTTTAAGCGCAACAGATATGACGGATTTGGACATTCTACAGTTGCTCTATCTAGGCATTGTCTTCACTTGCGTTGCCCATAGAAACCGATGTTCATATTGCACTGCAGCACACATTTACAACCAGTTACAGGATAGTTTTGAGAATATTGTGTTTGCAATGCTTTCCTGGAACAACAATGTGCATTTTTCTAGAAAGATGAATTTGTTAATGTCTGCCTGGAGTATAGCTTTAAATATTATTATTTTTTTTTTTTTTTTTTTTTTTTTTTTTTAAATGGTCACAAGGTGAAATGGAGGCTGACACTTGCGGGATCCAAAAGTTTACCTTCTGTAGGGGATGCTTTTCCTTTTTTCACTGCTATGCTCCATGTGTTCCAATCCCCTTTTACACAGAAAACCCCATCAGTAGGTTTTTGGGTTTTCACCCATAGTCTGACTGTAGCACACCCATATTCATGCATCTATGAACTGTAACCTGCTTCAGCATATGGATGAATGTATATGGCATTTGTTCTCTTAAGTGATGCAGAATTGCTACCCCTATTTAAATGCATACCTTAACCTCCTCATGCCGGCCAATCGCAAATATGCAGCCTCCTGGTGTCTGGGCCTATATGCCAAGTGGCCGCTTATTTGTGGGGTTCTATTGAAATGGGGGGGAAAAAAAAAAAAAAAAAAAAAAAAAAAAAAAAAAAAAAAAAAAGCCCTGTGTGCTCTTAGCACACGTTGGTACTCACGGAAAGGTCCCGATCTCCTCTTGCGATCGGAACCTTTCCAGATCATGTGACTGCAGTGACTTGTCACGGTGATCACATGACCTTAAACCCTGCCTCCCAACTTCTGAAACCCTTAAAGGGCTGGGAGGCGCCAGCACGAAGGGGTTAAATAACCCAATTTTCTCTATTCCTTGTCATCTCAGTTTTTAACTGATAAAGTGATTTGCTCTTACATACCAAGTTACATAGTGAAAAATAGACTTTTTTAAAAAACAGTTTTATTAAGAGATTAGAAGGTGTGAGACAAGATGAGCACTTCCAGTATCCACCCAGCAAGGATGGACAAAGCACACTGCAAGAGATTCACCTAGCAGTTTGTGGTAAGAATTGCACAGGAAGCCAAGTAAGAGACGAATAAAAAGGAAGAGGAGACAGCACAGCTGAGCCCACTGGAAGCCAAGCCCACCTTAAAGCTGAGCCTGCTGGGAAGGAATCAATACAAGTTGGTGCATTGTTACAATAAAGCACTCATGTCTACATCCTCCTGTTATCCCATTTTCACATACAGGTACACATTAAATCTCAAAGTTGGGAGAGCACCTTTTGTTTAGCACTGGTGCCACATGTTAGAGTAGCTTGATCCAGGTTAAAATGTCCAAGGAAAATAAAAATTGAAAGACATCTACCCCAACAGTCCTGATTTCTGCCTTGAAGAAAGCTCATCTGAAATAGAGTCCTGGCTGTGGGACAGCTTGGTGTGTCAGCGGAAAAGGCACTCATTTTGAGAAGATGTCTGAGGACTCGGACAGAACTCTTCCATCTTTGGTCTCAACTGTCTTCACTACAATGCTTCGTTTAGTTCTGGATGTTTCCAGGGGGGAGGCATTGACGCTGCTGGTATATGCATAACTGCCCCCCAATCCACCACCTATTGTACTACCATATCCACCACCGTATCCACTTTGTAGTCCTCCACCACTGTAGCCACTGCTAACTCCTGTAGAAAAGAAAACATGAGTCACCCACATTCATTAAGAAACAGACGTTTCTGAATCAAAACCAATTCCACTGAGACAAGCACTGCAGGGTTTGTGCCAATAAAAAAAACTCTATTCATGAACTAGTATTCACCAGCTGGACTAGAATAACTGACCAGACTGTCAGCTATTCATTACTGTATATCATTTGAATTTTGTGGTTATAAAAAGGAGAAGTGTAGGTCATTGCCAATCTCCTAAAAATGCTAGTTTCTTCCTGTTCCATCAAACTGGACATAGGTCACAATCTTCAGGAGTGAAGACTAGTGTTTTTTGCAGTCACTACAAGGGCACATGGAAAATCATTTCCATGTTCCCTGTTCATAGTTTTGTTTTTTGATGGGTTGTACAAGCTGCATTTTTCTGGAGTATACAAGAGATCACCTGAAGTTAATGTTTTGCACCACAGCTCTGATTTTGGGGGGGGGGGGGGGGGGGGGGGGGAACAAAAAAAAAAAAAAACCACCAACATTCTCAGGTTTATAATGGCCGTATCATGAAAGCCCACCTTCTCTTTTCTGGAAGTGCTTCAGGTATCAGATCTCTAACTAGATCTTGCTTATTAGCACCTATTTGGCAAATCACTAAAGCAACCCATTTCGTCAGTCATTTTGATGACCCAATTCCCCCATTCCAGGTGGGGAAGGGAATCACTAAGACTTCCCTGCTGTCAATACACTGTTCAAAGCGGCTAGCTATAGCCAGTGGCAGGGGTTGTGTTGAAATTTTTCAACAGGCTGGTTGTACAAAAGTCAGTAGCTTGTTGTCTTTACAACCAGACTGCCTATACATGGATCAAAATTCAGCAAGTTCCTGCTGAACCAGCCAAATTTCAATCCATGAATGGCCATCCTAAGTCAACCATCATAACCTCAGCTACACCTGTTTTTATTCTGCAAGTATTGGCATATATGCATTAAGAAACTAAAACTGTTCATCACCTGTTATAAACTAGTCAGCGAACACCAAGGCTACAGTAAACTATATGAAACTTATCAAGTGTAGGTAGTGCATTTGGAGAGGTGCTACCCACTTGTCAAATGTCACAATAGCTTTGGGAGTCAAAATGTGGTACATCCTGCGCCAGAGCTATATCAATGCATTGTGCACAATTCAGAATAGCTGTAGCACCCCTTCACTTAATGTGTTCACATGCAGGCACTTCTAGCCAGGATAAAATATGAAAGCCATACCAAAAAAAGGGCCATTAAAAAAAGTTCAATTTTCACACACACCAGAAAAACTACTGACTGCTGTGAAATTGCCTTTGTAGCTCAATGACTTTAGTAGGCTATGTGCCATGTACTGTATCCCCTGCAGTACAGACTAAGTAGACAATGAACCTAAAGGGACATTGTCACTCAGCTTTGCTTTCCAGTTCTCAGCTAATTGGCAAAGTAGTGAATATTTTCAGTTTAAAAAAAAAAAAAAAAAAAATTACCTGAGTAACCAGTGGTCTTGGTCTGAATACTAAGGTTCTGAATACCAGATTCCAGTCTGTAAATAAAGGAAATTTTCATGTAAGGCTGCTGTTCAAGAGCCATTATGGATCACATGACCTTATACACGTGGCCACACTTTTGATATTAGAAGTAATGTTACCTGCTCTCCTCTCCTTCCAGCAGTTTTTTCTGTAGGTGGCAATTTCAATGTCCAGAGCCAGTTTGACATTCATCAGTTCCTGGTATTCTCTCAGTTGGCGAGCCATGTCCTGCTTGGCCTTCTGTAGTGCTGCCTCCAACTCAGACAGCTTGCTGCGGGCATCTTTCAGTGCCAGTTCCCCACGCTCCTCAGCCTCTGCAATCTGTACTTCAAGGTTTGCACGCTGTAGGAGTAGATAAAAAGTTACACAAGAAGTCCACACTCACACACAAAATGTCAAAGAAACCTAAAAAGACCTTGGCTGCCTAACTGAGAATTTGTATGAAGAGCCTCCTGGTACAAAAAACATTTTTGTGGCTGAAGCTGATGAATATTCCATGAAAATGGGCTGTATTGCTGCCTAACCCTGAATAGCCAGCCAACTATATAGAATTTTTTTTTTTTTTTAATGCAAAAAAATTTGTAATTATGGACACTTAATATGCAAAATGTTTTTGGCCAATGATTTATGTAGCCCACCTGTGCTTTAAGGGCATCAATCTCAGATTGCAGCCGTGTGATGTAACGGTTGAGTTCACTGATTTCAGTCTTTGTGTTCTTGAGGTCATCACCGTGACGTCCAGCTGATGCCTGAAGTTCTTGGTACTGCAGGACATAATTAAAATAACTCAGCAAAAATATGAAAGCTTGTCAGATAAACGTTGTGCCATCAACTCTCATTTTCCTGGTCTTACCTACACTTTGATATTGCTTGGTGTATCAAAATATGCCTGCTCAGGCCAACAGACACCAGTGTTAGATTACAAAGTGCACTGGGCTGTGTGGTCAAACAAACCTAGTTAGACACATCCCCTCCATCAGCTCTGTAAGTGTAAGGACCCTGGTGATGAAGGCTGTTGAAGTTATTCAGGTATGCCAGCATAAAGCACTAATGTGGGAGGGCAGAAGCACAATTCCACTCACTGAATAAAAGGCAATGTAAGGCATTTCAAAATTGGAGATCCGTTAACTAATATGGCAGGATAAAATACCAGCTGATTTTTAGTTGGACAATGCCTTTCAAATGGGATAGGAACACATTAATTAAAATGTATTCCCTTCCTTTATTAGTAAACATCTGTGGCATGAAAAATTAAAGCAGATCACCACACTCATTATGGAAGCAGTATGTTACCATAACTAGTAGTGGTTTCATCCAACTGGCCATGTTTTTTTTTTGTTTTAAGAACCTAGAGACAGTATAGTAACAGCAAGTTTTCTGCTCTGTATACTCGCATTCTGGATGATCTTTCTACCTCTAGTAAAGTTTTCTAAAGCTGGCCATAAATTGTACAATCTGCTTTAGATTTACCAAGGCTGTGCGTAATGCGATAGTCTAGGTCAATTCAGAATCTTCTCTTGCACTACAAAGCTTTTGTTAGATCTTAAGATTGTACAATCAAAAACTGTATTGCCATCTTTAACCTTGTTCAAAACCAGATAGAGAAAGTTCTTTGCACCATCCACTGCACTGTGGAATACACCAGTAAACATTCCACTTGGTTTATATTGTAGAGGCAAAAGGAGTTGGCACATTGTATTACAGTCTCACCTTCAGCTGGTACATGCCCTCAACCTCAGCACGGCTCTTATTGGCAATCTCTTCATACTGAGCTTTCACTTCTGTAATGATGCTGTCCAGATCCAGGTTTCGGTTGTTATCCATAGACAGGACAACCGAAGTGTCAGAAATCTGGGACTGCAGCTCACGAAGCTCCTGCACACAACAGGGGAAAAAATAAATAAAAATAAATAAGAGTTAATGGACCAGGATAGTATTACAGCTTGATTTACACAAAAACCAAAAGTCCAAACACTTTACAAAATGGAGAGATTTATGCAAAACCCTTATGTGCACCTTCCTTCAAAAGCCAGTTGTAAAAAACTGAGATGGTTGGCAGATCTGTAAAACTCACTGAAATTGGCATGGGCTCACATTTAAAGCTTTTAGGGGCTGTGCTTTTGTTGGGCTTAGGATGTGTTCCTGCCGCTTTGATGAAAGACTCCCTCTGGGCAAGCCTGCCCTTAATTTATCCACAGCTATATATGCATGCCACTGGAGAGTCGCAAAAATAATAGTTTGGACTGCACTTTACAGAAGGGCCTTGATGAGGCGGTGTGGCTTCCATGTAGATTTTCAAATATTTGCAACTAAAACCGGTTTTAAAATGCAACTTGTTAGACAATGTTTTTGGCATGCTAGCTGGCAAGTGTGCTGGAACACTTGTTTAGCATGGAAAGTTTTATTTTTGGAATATTTAATTTATAAAGTTTGGATTGAACATAAATCTGATATGTACTGAAATGTATGCAACCTTTCTACAGTCTGAAGAAGACAATTACATTGAAAGATGGAATTAAGCCAAAGTGAACACTATCAAATTCTATACTGATAAGTATCGTTTACATGGGTACAGGGTTATCTGTCGCTCTTTCGTAAAGGTAAATTAGGATTACTGGCTATTTAAGTGGAACTGAAGATCATGTGCTTGCAAAGAGTAAATTAGTTCACATGTATCTACTAGAACCAACACTTTTCCAAAATTACTAAACAGGCTGGAGGCAGTTTTACACTGCAATTTCAGATCACTTGTCATTTCATGAAAGGATTAGCATGCAACAGGCCCTTTAATGCCAGGGACGTTCTACACGAATAACTGCAAGCAGCTAGATTAGCATTTACAGGGGGAAACCCCAAACCTCTCTCAACACAACTCAAAATAACGTGTGCCTTTGTACACCCGCCTTCATGATCTTGGAATCATGCGTACACAAACAGTAAAATAGTTTGTATCCTAGTCAGTCAATATGCTCCATTTGCATTCCCCCACACAGCCACATGTTAAGCTCCGAATTGAAACAAAGTTTAAGATATGAAACAACTTGAATGTTTTAAACTGATCAAAAAAAGTTTTTCCACAGCAAATCTATTTAAAGCCAATAGGATTTAGGATTAATAACTACATCTTGTAAAATAAGATTAAAAAAAAAAAAAAAAAAAAAAAAAAAAAAAAAAAAAGGGGCAGTGTCTCACCTCCTCATAAAGATGACGCAGGAAGTTAATCTCATCTGTCAGACTTTCCAGTTTTGCCTCCAATTGCACTTTGTTCATGTAAGCCTCATCCACATCCTATAGACAGTGTCAGGGGTTACTGATCATACAGTACATGTAGAATATAAAAAAAGTTGAACGTATTTATTGGCTCACCTTCTTCAGCAGGACAAACTCATTCTCCATTTCAGTACGCTTGTTTATTTCATCTTCATATCTGTAAAAAAAAGAAAAATCACAAGTTTGAAATCATAGTGTTGAAGTGGGTTAATAAGTCATTAATGGGGGAAGGGAAGCTGTCACTTTAAGATGAAAATGTTCCATTGCACAGAAGTTGGCAGAATTTCTTGAATATGTGGTCTCCAGACATGCTTTTCTCTGCACCAGTTCCCATTTATGGTTATAAAACTTCTCAATTTCGTCAACCCTTCTCAAGGAGCTCCCTCCATCCCTCTTATTTAGAAATTGGATCCAAGCACAATATTTTCTCAAATGCAGACAGGAAGACAGTAGGTCATATTAAAATAGATTACACTGAAATCTCAGTGAGTGGGGATAGAGAATGAGGCTGTAACTTATCAGTTATGAGAAAGATATCCAAAAAAACAGGTTGTACTGTCCTAGTTTACAGTCTAGAAATAGACTACGGATTTTAAATTAAAGAGCAGAGATGACCTGTAAACAGTGCTCAGTGCCCATGAAGTCAATCTTGTAAAATGTAACATCTATGCAGTTTCTCAGGTTGCATTGTGCAACACTGGCCAATACAAAAAAAAAAAAGGGAATTTGGGCTCACACCCCATTAGTTCAGTTCACACCAACGCACTGTCATACTGAAAACAGTTGTGCAGTTTGTTGCAATGTGCTATGAAACACATTACAAAGCACTGCTGTGCATAGAGTTAAATGGGATTGTCAAGTTTAAAGGGATTCGAATGGCTATGCGTCAAAAGTCTGTCAGTAGCTCGACGTCTTCACATCTGTACAAGGGGGGTGTGGTGGTGGGGGGTGGGGGGGGGGGGGGGGCTAGCCTGCCCTGCCTATACATGGATCAAAATTCAGCCAGTCCCTACTGAACCAGCCAAATTTCAATCCATGAATGGCCAGCCCAAGTCAACCATCATAACCTCAGCTACACCTGTCTTATTCTATATTCTTATTGGCATATATGCATTAAGAAACAAACAAAACTGGCCATCACCTGTTATAAACTAGTCAACAAACACCAAGGCTACAGTGAACTATGTGAAACTGATCAAGTGTAGGTAGTGCATTTGAAGAGAGGCAATACCTACTTGTCAAATCTCACAATAGCTTTGGGAGTCAAAATGTGGTACATCCTGCGCCAGAGCTATATCAATACATTGTGCACAATTCAGTATAGCTGTAGCACTCCTTTCCTTAATGTGTTCACATGCATTCTATGCATGGCAGTTAAAAAAAAAAAAAAAAAAAAGTGCGCAGCTCCCTCCTCCTAATACATACCTGAGCAATCCAGCGCTGTGCAGAAGAGAAGCAGCTCTGTGTCTCTACACCCATTGGCTGGGACACACCAGTGGGAGCCATTGGCTCCCACTGCTGCCAATCACAGCCACTGAAGAGGGAACAGGGCCAGGCTCAGACACAAAAGTGGATTAGGAGAGAGCATACATGAGTGCCCCCAGAGCAAGCAGCTTAAGGGAATGGGCTAGGAGCACTGGCAGGGGGACTCAAAGAACAGGAGAATTGAGCTTCTCTGTGCAAAACCACTGCAGAGCAAGAAACTATGCCATGGTAGGTTTCGTGAATCTTTAGCCCAGGTTCTCATATGCGGTTCGGTACATCGCATGTGATTCGCACAGGAACTGCACTGCATTCCTGTGCAAATCACATGCGAATTGTGTGCGGTGCGATTGGAGTCATATTTTGTATGGCTCTAATTACACCGGACCAAAAAGGCGCAGGGCCCCTATTTTTGGCCCCGATTCCATGGGTATTCACACCTCTGCGATCCAATTCTGAACATCGCACCGATTTCAAGAACAAGGTGCAATTGTGATGTGGAATTCACACAGAAAACGCTGCAAATTCCACATTGCATCACTGTGAACCCAGACTTACAATCACTTTAAAGTTAAGCAGCATTGTACAACACATCTTCATTTCTACACTTTACTTCTCCACTGTATCTGTAGAAGCAGTCATGGCTGTCACACTGGACTTCAATGGATAGGCGAGATAAGAAAAATGGGATTGTGCTTTTTCAGCTCCTGGAACTTGAAAAGGACATTTTCTGGCAAAAACAGGTATGTGATGTACTATCTGAAAATGTTTTGGCATAAAAAAAAAAAAAAAAAAAAAAAAAAAAAAAACCACACAACACACCCTAATGCCTGGCATTTTACCAGAAAGCCTATTATATTACTACTGAGCCTCAGTCAGTATGTTTTACTAAACACCAGGGGGACAGTTTTGTGTGCCAAATCCCTCTACAAATCAGCAACAAGCAGGAACTCACTTGTTCTTGAAGTCCTCCACCAAACCCTGCATGTTTCCAAGCTCAGATTCCAGACGCAGCTTCTCCTGGCCCAAAGTGTCAAGCTGGCGGCGCAGGTTGTTGATGTAGGCCTCAAACATGCCATCGATGTTACTGCGGGTTGTTTTCTGGTTCTGAAGAAGGCTCCACTTTGTTTCCAGCATCTTGTTCTGTTGTTCTAAGAAGCGCACCTACAAGGACAAGTGATGGATACTATGATCACATGGCACAAGTTTTGCCTAAAAGCACAATACACTAAAGCAAAAAGCTATGCTGAGAAAGGAACGCCATTGAAAAGTAGAATACGACTCAGTGTCAAAATGCAGTTTGATCTGGTATGTCTATACCAGTCACTCAACCAGGATTCCATGAAAGTCGTGTTTGTTGGTGGTTTCTAGAGCTGTGGCTGAATGATCTTTATAGCTATTCCTTAAAAGGTGGCATTTCCAATGTAAGGGATTGTTTCCTGTTGTGGCTATACAAGTGAAGGAAAATCAACCCAATGAGACACAGGACAAGAAACTAGGAGCTATAACCCTCCTGTGCGGCCTACCTGACAGGCCGCCTACCTGACAGGCCGCCTACCTGACAGGCCGCCTACCTGACAGCCGCCTACCTGACAGGCCGCCTACCTGACAGGCCGCCTACCTGACAGGGCCGCCTACCTGACAGGCCGCCTACCTGACAGGCCGCCTACCTGACAGGGCCGCCTACCTGACAGGCCGCCTACCTGACAGGCCGCCTACCTGACAGGCCGCCTACCTGACAGGCCGCCTACCTGACAGGCCGCCTACCTGACAGGCCGCCTACCTGACAGGCCGCCTACCTGACAGGCCGCCTACCTGACAGGCCGCCTACCTGACAGCCGCCTACCTGACAGGCCGCCTACCTGACAGGCCGCCTACCTGACAGGCCGCCTACCTGACAGGCCGCCTACTGACAGGCCGCCTACCTGACAGGCCGCCTACCTGACAGGCCCACCCCCCCCACAAAAAAAAAAAAAATTAGTGAAAATATAATATTGAAATTTTATTTAACACTAAAATTAGTGGACTCAAGCATAGAATCCCAGCCACAGCACCACCTGCCTGGAGTTTGCATGTTCTCCCTGTGCCTGCGTGGGTTTCCTCCAGGTACTCTGGTTTCCTCCCACATGCTGGTATGTTAATTCGCTCCTGTCTAAATTGTCCCTAGTATGTGTATGTATGAATGTGAGTTAGGGACCTTAGATTGTACACCCCTTGAGGGTTAGGGACTGATGTGAATGTACAATATATATGTGTAAAGCGCTGTGTAAATTGATGGCGCTATACAAGTACCTGAAATAAAATAAACAATTCCTGCTGATAAAACTGTATTGAAATAAAAGTTGTGTGTGAACTATGGTATTGGGGCTCATGCACATGGATTCTGAGGCCTGTACAGTGATTTTATTTTATTATGTGGCTGGAGCTGTGTGCAGGCAGCCTATATTACACTATGGGGGTGCAGCAGCTGTATGAATACAACTGCAGGTCCTGATTTGGACAGGCATGTAGGTGAAGGTGTACAGCCCCAAACACAGACAGCATGTATTCAGGGCCACTCACATCAGATTAGGACCTGCGGCTGTGTTCATACAGCTGCTGCACTCAGAGCTCCAGGCACTCCCAGCTGCACAAACTGCTCATTCACACTGTATGGGCCAGAGAACCAATGTGAATAAGCCAATTTTTAGGGGTGCACCGGAATTTCGGTGGCCGAAACATTTCCACCGAAAACACCCCTATTGGCGGATATGAAAATAAGCACTGATACAGGTGCCGAAAATAACCTCGCCCCCTCCCTGCGGCACGCCTGCTGCTGCCACCCCTTGCTAGTTCTCAGCCTTACCCAAGGAACCAACAAATGATCCTGGCGCTGGGCATAGAGATAAGTGAAGGAAAGATGGCCTCCACTCACCTCTATGCCCTTGGAGGACCGGAGCAATGTCACTTCCGCTTCTGGCACCTTGTAAACAAGGCCTTATTTTTTCTAAAGCACTAGCTCAATGCTTTTTTTTAATCTAATGCTTTACATTGTAGAGGAGAGAGATGTGGGGTCTTATTGACTTCATAGATCTCCATAAAAAGGACCTGTCACTAATTATTTCTATCAAGGGATGCATGCATTTCTTGCGATAGGAATAAAGGTGATTAAATGTTTCTCGTTTGTAAAGGAACAGTGTAAAAAATAACAGTGGTGAAGGCATAAGTAGGCCACGCCCACATGTGTAAACTGTTCAAACCAAGCATGTGAGATATTGCCAGAATGTCAGAGCAATAATTCTAGCACTAGACCACCTCTAACTTTACACTAGTAACCTGTAGAAATTTTTTAAAGCGTCACTCAGATTTTTAAGTACCATAGTTTGACACCATGCCATGAGCATGCGCAACTTTAAAGCATGACATGTTGGGTATCTATTTACTCACTAACATCTTTCATATTTTACAAAAATATTGGGGTATATAGTGTGGGTTTTTTAACCATTTAAATGTATTTTTTCCAAACAATATATATTCATTTTTAAAAACCGTCCATTTCGGTTTTCAGCCAAGTGCATCCTGACTTTTTGGTACCAGAATTTTCATATTGGTGTACCACTTTTTTTTCACAATTTAACAAAAAAAAATTGTTTAAAATTTATAAAAAATGATTTTACAATGATGTTGGGGTAGCTTGGGTGGAATATCAGGGGTCTATAAAGACCCCTGACATCTCACCTTTGAGACAAAGGAATGGAGGACACAGATTTTTAATTCCTTTCTCTGTAGCCTCAGCTGCACTGCATTCTGAATGAGCAGGAGAGGCTGCAGATTAATGAACTGAACACACATTTACCAGCCCCCCTCCTACACTCTCCATCCTGAGTGCCCGCAGCGCTGTGGTGGGGGCACACAACAGCCTGCAGGGGAAATCAAATGTGGGTAGGACCACAGGGGGCAACTACAGGAACAATGCCTTGAGTCTCTTCCAGCAGCTGAAAGCCAGCAAGAGGGAGAGGTGGAGAAACCAGCTTTCAGCTGCAGCAGAGAGCCACAGAGCATTATTCCTTTAAATTGCCACAGTAAGGGCTCATTCACACTTGGCTGTTTTACCAACGCTTGCCAAACGCCCCTATAGCGTTTGGCAAGCGTTGGTCTGCGTTTGCGGAGCGTTTAACGCTCGGCAAACGCTGCATGTGAGGTTTAGCGGCGGTTGCTAGGCGTTTGCCGAGCGTTAACGCCCCACAAATGCCTATAATGCAGTTTGAGTGGTGTTACCGCTCCGCAAATGCCCCGCAACCGCCGGCCGTTTGTGGAGCGGCACCATAGACAATAGGAGGCTTCAAAGCCTCCTGACTCGACCAGAGGAGTCCGTTATGCCGCGACGCAAATGCTCCCGTTAGAACAGCACCATGTGCTGTAATGTGCAGAATTGGTAGAGGCGTTTGGGAAGCGGTAAAAACACCTGCCAAACACCTCTCTACCACCTGCACACAACGCTAGTGTGAACGTAGCCTTACAATCATCCTTCCCGTCCAAATTGAAATCCCCTGCTGGCCGGGTCCCTGTACAGGTGGTACCCCCTTATTGGCAGATCTTACCAAGCAGGGATACACAGTTATTTATGTTGTATGGGCTTGGGGTGCCCATGTATAAAAGAGCCCTTTGGTCTACTTTAAGTTTTTGTTTCTGTATTCACAATGCCGCTCAGTGCAAGTATTGCAGATCATCCTCATAATCTCATTCTACTTTCACCTTATGGCTAAATGTACTTGAAATTCTGCACTTTAGAGAAATGCAAACTCAGATACAGATTTACACTTCATAAAGGGAATACCACTTTAAACAGAGTAGCAACTTATACTAGAAGCAGCATTAAAATATTGCAATTCTGAGTGACAGTTGTGACACCATTGTTGCTGAATTATCTGGCACATATGAAAAAAAAAAAAAATTTGGATAGTAGAATAGCAGCTCTCAAGCAGGATACAGAAAGTTTCTGTACTTTCATTTTTTTCACTCCACTTCACCAAAATTGCAGAATGGCTGATGAAACTCAGCACAGGACCCTGTTTCAGTTTGCAGGGTGACTTTTCCCTGCACACTGGCTGTGTGTGCTTTGTGACATCAGGCTGTTTGCACAGGATAATGAGCCAGGCTCAGCAAGGAGCACAGAGCCCACACTGCCCTATATGGTGATGTCTGCAGGTAACCATTTACCTTAGGTGCCCCTCCCTTCTACAGCAGACTGATAAGAAAGGTCATTCTCAAAACGGATCTGATAAGGAATAAAATGGATCAGCTGCCAACCAGTATTACACAGGGCACACAGCTTACAATTCATTGTACAATCTCCCAACTACTACATGGGTCTACTTGTCACTTTTTTTTTTTTTTTTTTTTTTTTTTTAATTTTTAAAATGCCAACTGCCACTTTGGTAGTTTTCCATTAAAGCTCCCACCATCTGCTTGCATACTTTCTTCACTTTACTGCCATACCCCATTCAAATTTGGATCTGAGCAAAACTAGGGGACTACATTTTTCAGGTGCTCCTATTAAAGTATGAGCGCCAAATAATGTACATGGGGCCAAAAACCATGATTCTGCCCCCAAAGCTCATGTACTTGTGAGCTTCATAAAGTAAGGAGACTATGCTCAGCTGTGAACGGACCCCACTGAGAACAGAGGAGAGTCCTGATCTTGATTGTTGTCTGGCATGAAGAATAATGTGGCAAACACTCAGGTGTAAATGGGGGCTGCCTTTGGCTGCAGTATATCCTCTGGGTCCTCTTGCTGTTCATGACCCTATTAATTCCATTAAGAGCCATATTCTGCTGGACCACTGGAGACCACCATGAGTGTGGATCTGCCATGGGAATTAATAGGTGCACACACACACACACACGGACCTGGCAGGAATATTTTACATGGATATGAAGTACCAAGCAGGGTGGCACAGCAAAGATCAGTGAACTGCAAGAAAAGCAAATATACAACAAAATGGGTTGCAACAGATAGGAGCAGGGATCACTTAAAAAGGGCAACTATAAAAAAAAAAAAAAAAAAAAAAAAAAAACACACAACTTTTTTTTATATTTTCAATGGCACATTTCTCCCTGGGGACTTTTATCTGCCGTTTCTAATGGCGAGGCAGCCATCTTGGGCACACTCAGTAGAACATCATACTAGGGCCAATTCACTTGCATTGTCTCAGATGTCTCTTATAGGGAATAGAGAATCTGAAGGATATTGAGCAGAGATTATATAATCAGATTGCACATAGTCAGCCTTTAGCTCACCGACAATGTCATAGATATTTGTGTACTCTACATCAGGATGTTTAATTAAAAAAGTACACCATTGTTCCACCCTGCAGGGCTATGTCTACGTAGCACAGTATCAATGTGGAATTGTACTGGAACACCAGAAGGTTTGTTAAATAGAGGAATACAAAGACAATATTGTTGTACAGAGTGCAGTCAAGTTAGCCATACACCTGCAGATCAGGTAGCCCAATGTGCAACAGATTAAGCCACCCATGTTGGTAGCCAACTCTTAAAAACAAGCAGTTTAAGAAAGTGGCAGCCACCATTTAATACAGGGGACAAGGGAAGGGAAACTCATAAGACATGCTGAGCATGGCAATGGCAGTCCATACATGCCCAGATCTACCAGTTAAGCATGCCCAGATCTACAAGGCAAGCTCTCAGCAGACTTCTGCCTATAGCAAAGAAAATTACCAAGACTAAAATCCAGTTATTAGTGGTTGCTATTGGCCAACATGTTTTTAATACTGCCCTTATCCTTGCTAAAATGTAATGTAGGACCTTGCACATTGACAACTTGACATAGGGAGTTGGGACCCTAGGAGCCTGCAATGTGTGTTAACCTGTTGGTGCAAATTGCCACAGGCTGGAGATTAGACTGCAAACAATGCAGTTCAGTAATGCAGATATCCCAACTGAAAAAGCAACACCGTCACCTAAGCAGATCCTGTTCTCCCGGAAAAACAAACCTATAAGAATGTATGCTTATAGCAAAATCATGTGCAGGAGGGTTGGTCTGAAAACCAGTAATGCCAATAACATACGGCTTTATTCAATATCATAACTTATGGCAACCAATCTCACAGCGGTCTGACGTTTGCAAAAGTCAATTTAAACGGATGCCATAAGTTTCGCAGCTGCAATTTCTATTGAAATCCTGTAGTTTTCTCTCTTGCACATGAAATATAGAATATTTCTTTAAAATAATGTCATTTGCTGTATTTTAAAATCCTTTACAATAAAATAAAATGTAACATTTATACTGCTTAGGCCTTTCCTGAACAAGCGGTGTCACTCCCCATATGTTATATAGCCTGAGCGTGCAGCTGTTACTTATGGCCGATGTGTGAAAAAAAAAGAAAAATTCCAGAAACCCCATACAATGAATTACAAGTAGTCACAGCCATATAGATATAATTATGGAAGTCTTGTATAAAGGTCTGTGTTACACATTTAAAATAAATCTAAATTAGTCCAGATTCTATTTTGATACATTGCATCTCTTCCTCTACCAGGAACCTGGCAATGTCAGAATGACCAGGCAGATCTCCTGGCCAGACTAGACTAGAGATCTCCTGGTCTCAGATTAGTCTGCTGGGAAGGTCAATGACCACCAGGAAGGCAGACTGGAATTTGGCACAGCATCGCCACCATGGGTGTGGCATTCACAAAATTTTAAAGAATCATTATGATTGTAGATTAAAAATCTGTTGGCTTCAGAGTACTGTGCAGACTATTGAGCCTCTACTAATAAAATGACGACAATGCAGGTAATACACTGGGGAGGTTCACTAACATACATCACAACTACATATGGGAAATGCATTAGAAGCAATGATCAACTGTTAACCTATTCTACTGTTCTCAATTTTCAAAGCCGGACTAAATTAGAGATTAGGAAATGAATCCAAAGAAAGTGTAGCCGGTAGCCAAATCAGATCTGCTCTACAAAAATAACACATATATAGATTTCTACTTCTTAGATTCATGTCTTTGTGAGAATGTTCTCTGGGAGTTTCAATTAATATCTGACAAGCAGCATGCATGTGTACATGTGTGATCACATTTTGAAATATTTCAGACTGTAAAGGACACATTACATACCAGTGCAAAAGCTACATACATTTTTTAAAAATTACTAAGTACAAGACAAAGAAAAACAAAAAACACTTACGAAAGCTAAAAAGAGCCCTGTGCCAGGCATAGGGTGCTAAAAGTTAGAGCTTTCTGTGCCAGGCATAAGGGATGAAAGTAAGATGGTCATGTGCCAGGTATAGGGTGCTAAGGAAGACCTGTGCCAGATGTAAAGTGTTGAGGGGACCCTGGGCCAGGTATGGGGTGCTAAGGGGGGGTCTTAAGCCAGGTATAGGGTGCAAATAGCAAGAGTCCTGTGCCAGGTGCAGATTGTGAAGGAGTCCTGTGGCCAGTATACAGTGCTAAGAGCACTTCCTGTGCCAAGTTTGGAAGGGGGGCAAAACTAAGAGGGTCCTGTGCCAGGTATAGGGTGCCAGTTGTGAGGGGGTTCTGTGCCAGGTAATAAGTGCCAAGAGGTCCAAGACCAGGTATAGGGTGATGCAAGTGAGAGGATCCTGTCCTGTCCCAGGAACAGGGTGGTGAAGGTAAAGAGGGTGTATCAGGTAGTATATAGATTGTGAGGGGGTCCTATGCAACAATTAAGGGTGCTAAAAGAGAGCTTCCTGCACCAAGTATGGGGTGAAGAAAGTAAACATCCTGTGCAAGGTATAGAGTGTGGACTGTGTGAAAGGTATAGAGGGGTTGATGAAGGCATGGGGGGCCCTGTACAAGGAATGGGGGGTTAGTAACGTACTGAGGGTTCTGTGCCAGGTATGGGGTACAGAGAGGGTCCTGTTGCAGGTATTGTGCAGGGATGAAGGTATGAGTGCTCTGTGCCAGGTAATGGCTGACATAAGGGAGTGCCTTGTGCCATGTATAGGGACCAGTGAAGGTATAGGGGTCCTGTACCAGGTATTAGGGGGTGAAGGGGTCATGTGCCCACTATTAAGAGGTGGTAAAGGTATAGGGGTCCAGTGCCAGGTATAGGGGGTGGTGAAGGGTCATTTTTCCCACTATTAAGGGGTGGTAAAGGTATAGGGGGTCCGGTGCCCAGTATAAAGGGGTGGTGAAATTATAGGGGTCCAGTGCCAGGTTTTGGGGGTGGTAGAGGTATAGGGGTCCAATTCCAGGTGTTGAGGTGAAGGTATATGGGTGCAGTGCCAGGTACTGGGGGGTGGCAGAGGTATAGGGGTCCTGTGCCAGGTATTGGGGTGCCATGCACTCACCTTGTCAATGAAGGAGGCGAACTTGTTGTTGAGGGTCTTGATCTGCTCCTTCTCCTGGGTGCGGACCTGTTGGATGTTGGGGTCGATCTCCAGGTTGAGGGGGGCCAGCAGGCTCTGGTTGACACTGACGGAGGTGATCCCCCCGCCAGAGCCCACACCTGCCCCCAGCCCGGCTCCCCCATAGGCCATCCTGTAGCCGCTACCGAAGCGGGACCCCCCGCCATAGCTGGAGCCCAGAGAGAAGGACGCCTGGCTGGCTCTGGCCCCGGCCGGGGCTCCGCTGTACGAGAAGCTGCTGAAGCCTGTGGAGCGGGGCACGGCACTGCTGGAGGTGCGGTGAGTGAACTTCTGCACTTTGATGGACATGATGGAGGCGGATGAGACCTACAGAGACAAGACTAGAGGCGCACAGGACTGACTGCGGACTCCTCTCCACTCCGCACTTATATGTACACTGCCCCACAGGGGGCGGGCCGCCCGCTTGTCCTCACCTGAGTGGCTAACTGTGGCACGGAGGGCGGGGCCAACCACCTGCTGCCACACGCTGACACTAGAGGGAGTGCCGGGGGCATTCCAGGAGGATCGGGCACTGGGGGGGTTAATCCGGGGGACGGGAGATCCCAGACTGCAGAAAGGACCCCACCTTCTTCACATCCATGTGTCACTGTTATAGTCAGACCCGGGGGGAAGGTATCCTACCATCCGACAGTGCAGGTGTGGGCTATTATCGCACGTCGGATTTATTATTAGGTGGCCACACACGTGTGGACTGGTGATCAATCCAGGTACAAGCCATCAATAACAAGTGATTAATCATTTATTCAACATATCGAAGATTCAACGCATGCAGTATTGATTCATAGTACAATCTATCAGAAACAATTTATTGGAAGCATTTCATTGATTGGTTGTCTGACACAGACACACATGGGCAGCACAGTGGCTAAATGGTTAGCACTTCCACCTGGCAGCACTAGGGTGATTGGTTCAAGTCCCAACCATGGCACCACCTGCATGGAGTTTGCATGTTCTGCCTGTGTGGGTTTCCTCTGGGTACTCCGGTTTCCTCCCACACTCCAAAGACATGCTGGTAGGTGAATTGGGTCCTGTGTAAATTGGCCCTAGTATGTGTATGTATGAATGTGAGTTAGGGACTTTATATTGTATCCTCCTCAAGGCTGCATTTACACCTGAGCACTCTGTAGCGTGAAGCTCAATGCTCCAAAACACTTGGGGAAAAAAATCAATATCACTCTATGGAGATGGTTGACATCTCCACTCCAAGTCGCCTGAAGCTCAAAAACATTTGAGCTTCAGGCGACTGTACTGATCTGCAGTTTTGAAGTTTAGCTCGACTTCAAAACTGCAGATCAGTACAATTTGGATGTTAGATTTCATTGCGGCTTGCAATGTAATTTAACAGAAATCAATGCAAGTCGCAATGAAATCACAGAAAAGTAGTGCAGGAACCTTTTTGAAAGTCACTGCATCTTGAGTCACAACAATTTGAACGGTTCCATTGCCACAAATGGGGTGCGACTTTTGAACTGTCAAGTCGCATGACAAATCACATTGGTGTGAACCAAGGCTAACTGCCAACACGGTGTATTTTGCAGTGAAAGTTCCCCCCACCCTTCAGCTGATTGCACTGGGCATTTTATATCCCTTGTTCAGTGATACATAGTGGTAAGGAAAACATTGGTGGGTTTAACTGATGATTGCTGGGCTGTAAATCTTTATGGTTTGTAGTCTTAGGAGGAGGGGCGCAGGAACTGTGGGGTTGATTTACTGAAACTGGAGCATGCAACATTTATCTATTACAGGCAGGGGCGGAATGACCCTTTGGAAACTCAGGCACTGCCCGAGGGCCCGGGGTCAGTAGGGGGCCCCATGAGATGCCCCTGGTACCTTTTTCATAGGCTTTTTTGAGTTTGGGCAAGGACACAGGGGCCTCATGATCCCCTATTGCCCAGGGGCCCCATGAGTTGTCAGTCCCCCCTGATTACAGGTGCTTATATAGTGTTGTCAATTTACACAGCACTGTACATATATATTGTACATTCACATCAGTCCCTAACCCTCAAGGGGTGTACAATCTAAGGTCCCTAACTCACATTCATACATACGCATACTAGGGACAATTTAGACAGGATCCAGTTAACCTACCAGCATGTCTTTGGAGTGTGGGGGGGAGGCCCATGCAGATTCAGGGAGAGCATGCAAACTCCAGGCAGGTGGTGCTGTAGTTGGGATTCAAACGAACGACCCTGGTTCTGCCAGGTGGAAGTGCTAACCATTTAGCCACGTTCTGCCTCGTGGGGCAGCTCTGCATAGAAAAATCAGCTTCCATGTTTTTTTTTGTCAAAACTTAACCACTTGCCCTCCTGAGGATTTACCCCCCTTCCTGACTAGGCCATTTTTTGCGTTACGGCGCTGCATTACTTTAACTGACAATTGCACGGTCATGCGTTTTTATACCCATAGAATAGAATAGAAATGCATGAATAATGCATTTGTGCGTATTTTTTTTGTGATTTTCTGCTCAACTAAAAAAATGTAAAATAAAAAAAATAGTATTAGTGTATGAATAAATAAATGTAAAATAATGCACATATAAATAAAGAAATCATACGTTAATAATTAACCCTTAACCTTAAAAAATGAAATATATTATTATTATTATTAAGTACTTGCCCTCTAGAGGATTTACACCCCTTTCTGACCTGGTCATTTTTTGCAATATGGCGCTGCATTATTTTAACTGACAATTGCACGGTCATGCAACGCCGCACCCAAATGAAATTTACGTCCTTTTTTTTTCCCAAGAATTGAGCTTTCTTTCGGTGGTATTTTATCGCCTGGGTGTTTTTTATTTCTTGTGCTATAAAAAAAAAAAGCAACATTTTTGAGAAAAAAAATATTTTTGACATTTTGCTATTAAACATATCTAGTAAAAAAATTTAAAAAATCTAATTTTGTCATAAATTTAGGCTAAAATATATTGTGCGACATGTCTTTGCTAAAAAAAAAAACAATACATGTAAATTAATTGGTTTACGTGTAAGTTATATAGTTTAAAAATGGCGGTATATATACTGGAACTTTTGATTTTTGTACTAATAATGGTGGCAATCAGCGACTTATAGCAGGACTGCGGCAGGCATTCTGACACTGGGGGAACTGAATTAGTGTCACTGACATCCCCAGTGACACCAATACAGTGATCAGTGCTAAAAAAAAAAAGCACTGACACTGTACTAATGGCACTGGGCAGGAAAGGGTTAACATGAGGAGCGGTCAAAGGGTTAACTGTGTGCTGTGAGTGTTTTACTGGGGGGCAGTGTGGTGGTGTTTCACTGTAAGGACCCGGTAATTGACAGCCACGAATAGCGGCGTGGGTAGGGTATGATCGCGCCTCGCGCATGCCCCCTGCCCGGAAATGCCATCATTGGTGTCAGTGGGAGGAATAGTGCCCCATCGTTGGTGTCAGTGGGAGAAATAGTGCCTTATCATTGGTGTCAGTGGGAGGTATAGTGCCCCGTCGTTGGTGTCAGTGGGAGAATAGTGCCCCATCATTGGTGTCAGTGGAAGGAATAGTGCCTTATCATTGGTGTCAGTGGGAGGTATAGTGCCCCGTCGTTGGTGTCAGTGGGAGGAATAGTGCCCCCTCATTGGTGTCAGTGGGAGGAATAGTGCCCCCTCATTGGTGTCAGTGGGATGTATAGTGCCCCATCCTTGGTGTCAGTGGGAGGAATAGTGCCCCATCCTTGCTGTCAGTGGGAGGAATAGTGCCCCATCGTTGGTGTCAGTGGGAGGAATAGTGTCCCCTCATTGGTTTCAGTGGGAGAAATAATGTCCCATAGTAGGTGTCAGTGAGATTTATAGTGCCCCATTGCTAGTACCTGTTGGAGGAATATTACCCAATCATTGGTGTCAGTGGGAGCAATAGTGCCCCATCCTTGATGTTTGTGGGAGGAATAGTGCCCCCATCGTTGGTGTCAGTGGGAGGGAAAGTGCCCCATCCTTGATGTTTGTGGGAGGAAAGTGCCCCATCATTGGTGTCAGTGGGAGGAATAGTGCCCCATGAATGGTGTCAGTGGGAGGAATGGTGCCTTATCATTGGTAACAGTGGAAGGAATAGTGCCCCATCGTTGGTGTCAGTGGGAGGAATAGTGCCCCACAGTTGGTGTCAGTGGGAGGAATGGTGCCTTATCATTGGTAACAGTGGAAGGAATAGTGCCCCATCGTTGGTGTCAGTGGGAGGAATAGTGCCCCACAGTTGGTGTCAGTGGGAGGAATGGTGCCTTATCATTGGTATCAGTGGGAGGAATAGTGCCCCATCGTTGGTGTCAGTGGAAGGAATTATGCCCCATCATTGGTGCCTGTGTTGCCTCAAGTCCCAGATAAAGGCAAGCAAAGGGCCGTATCCAGCCCCTGGGCCACAGTTTGGAGACCACTGCTGTAGACTGTAGAGGGCATCTTGCCAGCCACTGCTTTCCTAAACACAAATAAGCAAGCAACATACAGGAGTCACTTTTGGCAAATTCTTATAGATAACTATATTATTATTATTATTATTATTATTATTATTATTATTATAATAATAATAAAACATTCAGACAAGATTTTCCAACCTGTCCAATTGAAAGTGACCTCAGCTGGTGGTGTCTTCAAGCACCTCACAGACATTAGAAAGTGGCTTTATGTAGTAAGAAATGGCTTGATTGGCAGATTGTCTTGTAATGTTTATGAGCTCTATAAGGCCACTCAGGCAGCAAAGGGTAATAAAAGCATGTGGTTGATCTGTGTTTTTACCACCCCTCAACCGCTTACCTACAAATTTTTCACAGTGGATGCTCAGATCTGTTCACAATGCTGAGGCCGCAATGCTTTGCAATGTGGCAAATTTACAGTAAGCATGTATAGCGTGCCAGGAAATGTGAAATTCACATCAACATTTCCTGACGCTCCATACATACTTGCAGTTATTTTTCATGTGGTTCATATGACGATGAGAGCTACCTGATCTGCTATCCATGCCACCAGTTGATGCTTACTAACCACCAACCACTCACCCTAGCGTCTGGGTTTCTTTTACTGTTTTATAGCAAATTTACAGTAACTTGCCATGTTGTTTTTGGCAGCCATTCCGCTTGCCAAATGTGGCCACTGAAGTCAATGGGGCAGCACCACGTAAAAGTGTTACACACTTAGCATGCAGTTGCAGCCCAATTAGCAATTAGGACAATGTTCTTTATTCTGTCTAATCACTGTCCCCTCTGATTGGATGGTGGATTTGTGCCTAATGCATGGTCTAGTCACAATTCTAACACCCAATCCAGCCAAAAACATGTAAACCCTACAAC